TGTAAATGCTTTTTTTTTTTTTATTTTTTTTTTTTTTTTCCCCCCCCCCCCCCCCCCCAATTCGCTCATGATGCATTAATATAAGGAGATTTAAAACTGCCTAAAGAAACATGGGTGCACTGAGATGGAATAAAGATAGTAATCCTTAGGAGGGATTTAGATATCCATGAATTTCTTAAAGTAGACACTTTTCGGGAATAGAGAGAATTTGATTGGGGTCATTTAAATGCTTCTCCTCTTGAATTGTTAGCTAAGAATTAACTTGTGTAGACATGTGTTTTGCTGCACTTTCCCTGCCCCCAAACAAGAGTTTCTCATTTACATGTGTAAGCATTTCCTCTCACTGAGCTAGAAAAATAAAAAAGACTGTAACAAGAGATGTTTATGGACCACTGTGGGCTTTAATGGTTTTTAGTAAATGAGCAGGTAACGGGGGTTTTCTCGTGCATCGAGAAGATTATTTCTCATTTGCATAAGTACATACCCAAGTGAAGGAGTGCATGTAAAATACAAATGTACTACCTTACGCGTCAGCGCTCAATCCACCTCTTAGAACTGGCAAGTTTTATTTTCTGCCATTAATTGATTCCAGCTAATTTTATTAGGGATGCATATATTGGTACCATATTGGTTATTGCTATCACTCTTTTGATTGATGGACAGACATGAGTTGTTCTGATGGCACCTCCTTGATTACATACGATGATGATGCATGGTAAGGGGCGTGATCAGGGGCGTATATAAGTGCATCTCTAAATGATATATTCTATAAAATCCCTTGCTCAGAGCTTAAAGTGGTCTTTGTGACCTTTGCCACTCTGGATTTTTGGTGCAGTTGATGTTTTGTCTGTTCAGTGCCTCTAGTCCCTAACACCTCCACAAGTCATAAATTGTAAACTTTGTTTAATGTCACAAGGTCAGTGGTTCTAAATGTTTTTGACAGCATACGAGACACATTGGTTGTGAGTTTTTTTCATCTACTTTTCCATCGGTAACAAATAAAAAAAACAATAGACAGGTTTTGTTTACAGTATCTGTCAGGTGAACTGCTGTTGACCTCTTTGCTCTCACAACCCAAGGGCACCTGCACTTGCCTCTCCCTTTTTGGCAAACAACATTCCCTTCATACGCCATGACATCTAAAGCGTTGTTGAGTCAATTACCATGAACTGCGATGGTTTGTCCCAGGACGTGACTCATTCGCTGTCATTGTCATAGAAAAAAAAAACATGAAAAGACTTGCTGAGACACAATAATCCATACAGGCCTGTTTATTTTCACCTTTTGTCTAAATTTTCTCTGAGACATTGAAGATGTATCATAAGACTCTGGTTACGTTTATGTCTACATCTTTCTTCATTTTTTCGCTCTTACTCAGAACAAAAATAAAATGTGTTGTTGCTTTGCTCTCTGGGATGTAATTGGCCAGGGAGAGCTAGTGAAGAAGGGAGAAAATATGTTGGAGAAGTGATGAAAATCCATTGTGTATTGTGTAACACTAATGGTTTGGCAGGGTGGTTGCAGAGTTACTTTGATAAATGGCTTGTAGTGCTTTTTGTCTTGACAAAAATATCCAGATTTCTCAAGACATCCATTTTTGTTCTTCTGGGGGTTGCCAGTTGTTCATTTTTAATATGTGATGTTTCTCTACCACCTTCAGAGACACTCTGGCTCTAAGAGCATGAGCTTCTGCATGGATGGGCTCCTAAAACATCTCTGAGGAGAGCAGAAGCATCTGTAATGTTTTTTATTTGCTCTTAGTATGCATTACTGAACCGATCCAAACCCTAATTGCTAAGCTACAAATTAACATTAACACATGAGTTACAAACTGACTAGCTACCTACACAACGACAACGCTCATTTGTCTTCCTTCATTCATTTCACTTGTTTTCATTTTATTTTTGAGGATAATCATGCGTCTCCCTCAAGTATCCCAACAGTAACAGTTTTTTTAATTATTCTATTTTTTGTTGTTGCCATTTATTTGTATTACATAAACTATTGCTGTTAACTATAACTCTTAAACGTTGTGACGTACAACCAAGTGAAAAAATTATTGAAAAGAATTAGATCTAGGGCGGGGACTTGGTATACCCATTGGTTGTTGGAGGCAATGCAATCTAAATCCGAGCTTGCAGTCGATTGTTAAGAGGGGTATAAGTGGACTAAATGATTGGCGAAGTCCGGCAAACGTCACCAGAGAGAAGTTGTTTCACCGGAAGATCGAGTTATGATATTTTGATTAAAAACTACAAGGTCAAAAAAAGAAAAAAAAATGTAATGGATAAATTCAGTTTACATGGTTTTATAAAGGCAAGTTTTTATTAAGGCTGCATTACCTACAAAAGAACCCTAAAATGTTTGGCTGTTGATTAGCATTTAATAATAGCCAACATTTTCATTAAAGGTAGTGTGCACTGATATATCATGCATAATTAGAACATGTATTAAAAACAGTAAATACATATAATATTGATTTAACTTTGAATTTAAGTGTGTAATGAGACGGTGTCACAATTTGAACCCACCATTTGTCTCACTCAGAGCAACATGAGAAGTCTCTCTCACATCTGGCTCCCTGGCATTCAACTGAAAAGCCAGGAAACCAGCGAGCACTTGTTTGTCCGTGGGTGGGATAAACACATTTTCTTTTCAAAAAAGGCCAGACTGGGAACCCACACACCACTCTCATTCTGAGTCTAAATTTAACTGAGAGATTGAGTTAATTGATCCATTCCAATGTGCCACGAGAGCCGAGCAAGTGGCCGTTGGAGAAGCCTGTCAACCTTTCCATGAAGAATCTCTAATAAATCTGCATGAGAGTCCCCTCCAATTACAGCTGTCACTCTTCTGTGCTGTTTGGTTAGGATCTTGTTGCATTAGTTGTGGGTGTAGGATGGAAGAGGGAACGAGAAAATGACAGACGTAGTGAGAGATCAAGCTGTGGGTGGTGCGGCTTTTAGTAGTCAAGGACAAGAGCTGGTACCAAAAACATAGAAGGTTCGAACCCAATTACATTGAATACATAAACTACGACCATCCTGCCAGTAGATCAGGGGTATCTAAAGCTGCTTTTTGAGGGCCAGTGTCCTAGTTCAGCTCCAACTTGCCTGGAAGATTCTAGTATGCCTAAAGACCTTGATTAGTTGGTTCAGGTGTTTTTAATTGGGGTTGTGAAACAGCACCTCGGTGGCCCCAGTGTCAGATGAAGGAGAGAGAGGAGAGCCCTTTATTTCCCCTGATTAATATCAGCACCATCTTTCCCTTTCATCTCTTGTTCTCCATCAGCCTCTTATCTGACAAACACAGACTTCCATTACTATTTTAATATCCTGTCTGAAATTGCAGCATTTGGCTCCAGCGGAAGATTCCTATCAGTTCTGAC